GCCAGGTTTCATTCCAGGGTGCTAGGCATAAAGAGGAGGGCCGGGCATAGCTACTTCCTCTAGAAGAGAAGAAGATGGAAATAAACAATCCCTAGAAACGTGCTAGGTTCTGGAATAGAAACATTTATGGTGTTAAGGAAAGAAATGCTCCTTTAAGGGAAAGAAAGAATATAGTGGCTGAGTGGCTGGCATAGCTATGGGCATGTAGTAGGCCTTCTAGAAAGCTTAGTTTTCTTCCTTCTGAGACAAAATACAATGGCATTGTAGATGAAGAAAGGATTTACCCTGCCCAGAGGACCCAGTAAGTCTTCCCAGAGAAACTATTATTCAAATGAACATAGGCACTTGACTGGCGATCCAATGGTTAATAATTCACCTTCCAATGCAGAGAGTGCAAGTTCGATCCCTGGTAGGGGAATTAAGATTCCACATGCCACAGGGCAACTAAACCCTCATGCCACAAAGAAGAAGTGAAAGTCGCTCAGCTGTGTCCGACTCTTTGCGACCCCATGGAATTCTAAAGGCCAGAATATTGAAGTGGGTAGTCGTTCCCTTCTCCAGGGGATCTTCCCAACCCAGGGATCGAACCCAGTTCTTCCGCATTGCAGGCAAATTCTTTACCAGTTGACCACCAGGGAAGACCTCTCGCCACAGTGAGGAAGCTCAGCTGGAAAAAAGTAAAAACAAACAAAAAAAACCCCCTCAGAGCTGAGAGAAAGAAATGGGAAATGTGTGAAGACAGGGAATAATTGGAGTCAAAAGCAGGGCAGTTGAGGAAAAAGTCAGAGGTTCTGATGTTCCAACAAGCAGAAAGCAAATTCGTCTGTTGGGGGTAGGTGTTGTGGGTCGAATTGTGTCTCACCAAAATCCACAGTTGAAGTCTTAAACCCAGTACTTATGAATGTGACTATTTGACAATAGGCCTTTAAAGAGGTAATTAAGATAAAATGAGGGCAGGTGGGTGGGCCCTAATCTGGTGTCCTTATAAGAAGAGGAGATTAAAACAGACTCACACTGGAAGAGGGCCATGTGCAAACCAAGGAGAAGCCTCTGAAGAAACAACCTACAAACACCTTGATCTTGGACCTTTTGTGTCCATAACCGTGAAGAAATAAATTTCTGTTGTTTAAAACTCTTTGCTGTTGTTGTTTAGTCTCTGAGTGGTGTCCAAGTCTGTGTGACCCCAGGGACTGTAGCCTGCCAGACTCCTCTGTCCAAAATTCTCCAGGTAAGAATACTGGACAGGGCTGCCACTTCGCTTCTGACCCAGGGATCCAGCCCACGTCTCCTGCACTGGCAGGTGGGTTCTTGACCACTGAACTACCAGGGAAGCTTAAGCCTCCTACTCAGTAAAAATTGTTACCTCAGCCCTTACACATTAAAGGTGAGGGGAAAGTACAGGTTTAGGAGGATGCGAATATTTCAGAAGAGTCACAGTGGGGAAGTCAGTAAAAGCTGGATGAATGGGTTCCTGAAGAGAAGATGGTCCAGCTAACTAATGATGAATGCATGGTTGTCTTCCATGCATTTGGTCGGACAGCATGTAACACTTGGCTGAGTTTGGGTTCTGGCACCAGGGGACTGATGGATTAGGAGTGTGGAGACTTCTAAAGTGGCTGTGAGCTTATGAAGTGGCTGGCCTGGGGCACAGGGTCAAAGGAAGCAAATGTGGCTAGAGTGGACAAATGGATGGAAAGCTAGGGAAGATTCTGGAATGGGAGAAAAATTGGTTAATTAGAGGGGAGAGAGTGGGAGGTAGGAAAGGACAGAGCTTGTGTTCACAGACAGCAGTGGACTTGGAGGTGTGTTCATGGTTTAAAAACAGTGGACAGACTTTTGTCGTGTCATGTGAGGACTGAGTAGGCCTGAACAGTGGCCAAGCATTATATAGATGCTAGGGAAAGATGTTCTCTAGTTCCCAGGGGTCCATGTTTTAACAGCAATGTTCTTCTAAAAAAATGCAGAGTCCTGACTTGCAGATCCTCCTAACAAGGGACCCTGGGAATATAGCTGCTTTATAACGATGGACGTGTGACACCTTGGACACTTAATGTCTTCCTTAAATTATCATGCTCTGATGGCGTTAAGACCTGTGTCTCTTAATTCCTCATTTGGGACCTTCTATAACCTGTTCACATTAGCAGGGGCATGGTGGTAAGGGTACAGGAGGGACACTGTTTAAAAGTCAGTGTCCCAGCATCTCTCCAGAATGAAACCTGTGGGTTGGCAAAACACCATGACCAGGTGAAAGCAGGTGAGTGCATGAACCAATCAATGGTAGGTTTCCCTCTTAGACTCTCACATTCTCCAATCCTGGGACTAAGGTCACAAAAATCATCTGTAACTGCTTGGAATGGAATGGAAGGAAACAGGAATGAAATATCTTGGAATGTCTTTATCCCTGCCTGTTTTTGGCCCATCTCTGCTTAGACGATTTTTAAACTATTCTTAAATCCAGACTTTCAGCTGAGGAAGGTGAAAAATTTTGGAGGTGGATCACGGTGAGAGTTGCACAACAATGTGAATGTCCTTAGTGCCACTGAGCTGTACTGTTAGAGATGGTTAAAAATGTTTACATTATGTGACTTATACCACAGTTTAAAAAAAAAATACTGGAAAACTCCATTACCCTTGCAAAATAAGCCAATCATGCCCTCCACCTAGGAGAGAGCCTACACCAATAGGTGCTCATTAAATGTTTGCTGCGTTATTGAACACTCAAAAAGTCTTCCTTCTGAGAAATTCTTTCATCCTTCTCTCCTGCTACTCCTGTATTCCTTATCGTGTGGTTAGCTGTGGGTTTCTGTGTTCCCCGGCCGCACTTCTCAGCCTAGGTGTCAAAACACACTGGCTTGTTTTATCTGCCAGGAGGTACACTGCAAGTAATTTGTTAGCGATAATAAAGCATCAAGTCAGGGAAGGTTTTATTTGTGAAATAGAGAAGATTTAAAAGAGCGCTTATCATAATGTCCCTTTACTGGCCTTTCAGTTTCCTTCCTTAGTGGGAAAGCAAGGAGCCAGAGGTGGATTACAGAGGACTCTGTGCAACCCCAGGGGCTGTAGCCCACCAGGCTCCTCTGCCCACGGGAATTTTTCTGGCAAGAATACTGGCATGGGTTGCCATTTCCTCCTCGAGGGGATCTTCCCAACCCAGGGATCGAGGGTGCCGAAGGCACCGTATAGAACCTCTGTGAAGGCAGTGGGTGTGTTTTGAATAGGTAACTTTCATCCAAGCACCCTAATTTGTGGGGGAAACAAGTATGAGATTCACAGTTAGAACATTCATTCACCGTGGAATAGTTGACCAGATTTTCAGCTTTCTCCTCCCCAGACTTCATATTCACAGATCTGCCCAGTGACTGGATACAGACCCTCCTGAAGAGCGTTTTAATTGGTTGTGTGGGTCTCTGAGGACCTGCCCCCATTAACATGAGAGTGATTCCGGAAAGTTGCCCAAACAGAGCAAATGCAGCCGTGTCCTAACAACACAGCGCTGGGGACCTCTGAACCGTGTCTCTCTCCATAGCCTCGGCTATTTCAAAGAGATCATTAACAAGGTGGAATCGGGTGCCCTCAGGGTCACCGCACAATATACATTGTTACTGTATTTTAATGGACTTTTCCCAGACACGGTGATTGTTAAACTGCAGCGTCGGCAGCTGCTAAAACCAGGCTGAGCCCTGCCTTCTGCAAGGAAAGCCGGCCTGCCAGTCCTGCCGGAGACGATCTGAGCTCGGGCAGATGGATCGGGCTGGGAGAGGGGAGGAGGGGAAGTGGGCTTCAGGGGAGGGGGCAGAAGCCAAGAAGCGAGGCAGCCCTTGGAGGTCCTTGTTATTGATTTAGCGTGAGGACCGAAAGTGGCAGGTAGGCAGGTGGCTGGGGGCTGGCGGGCGGGGAAGACAGGTGTAGGCAATCGTGGGCAGTGATTAGCCGGGGTGCTGCAGATGTGGCTGGGGGTGTCAGCTGGTGGTGATTAGCGTGGGCGCTTCTGAGGGGCGTGGCATCAGATGGTGGTTTCAGAGTCCAGATGTGAGAGGCCGATGGGCCCCCTTCCCAGCTTGCAACCCCTTGCTAGTCTTCCCCTCTCCTGAGCAGGTGCATTCACCTTCACCCTCTCCTACTGTCCCCTCCACGTGCCTTCTTCCATACATTCCTCTCTAGGTGAAGGGCATGGATACGCAGATTGCGCCTCCCCCCATTCTTCAGTTTCTTTGCCAATTTCTGAGATGATCACACAGACCGAGCACCTTCAGACACCAGGCAAGACAAAACCTGCAGGATCCATAGGTGTGATCCTGCTCATTCATGTGAGAAAGGTACCTGGTTGCTGAGGGTGTTTATAGCATTCTGTCAACTTTTCTTGCCCTCCTTTTTATAACCTGCCTAAAATTTTTATAAATAAAGATTTGTATTGGAGTCTAATACACACAGAAAGTAGACATACTAGTGTAACTCTCCCACCCAGATGAAGTATTTGAAAATTCACAGCACTCCAGAAACTTTCCTTAGTCCCCGTTCTAGTCACTAGTACCCTGCTTCCTCTCCAAAAGGGACCTCCAGACTGTAATCACCATAGATTCATTGCGATTGTTTTGGAATTTTTGTGTAACTAGGCTCACACACAAGGCCTTTTTCAATAATATATTTGTATGTAGTTTGTGATTTTTCATTGTTGTATACTATTCCACTGCATGAGTAATTCACAATAATCTGTTTCACCGATAATAGACATTTGGGTTTGTTCCATATTTTGATTACTATGAACAAGGCTATTCTAATTATTTTAACAGGGATTGTGTTGTATAATATGTGCACTTCTATATATTTGGGAATGGAATTATTAGAATTACAGGATGGCTATGTTCAACTAGAGTCAAAACAGTTTAGTAGAAATGGTTTTGTAAAACAACTATGTCATGCCACAGCTCTGATGTCACAAGACTAGCCTGCCCACACCACAGCAGAGGCTGGGAGCTCTTGGTAAATTAGCCACCATCCTGGCTGCCTAGCCTGTGCATTCTGCTGGATTACTTTCCTGGTCACTCATGTCAGCATATAGTGCTCTATATCCATCCTCTCTATGTCTTGGTTCTTATGAGCTCTATTTCCCTATAACCATTTCAGGTCTTCCTGCTTCAGTGATCCCTTTGGATATGCTTCTGTAACTTACTGACCAGTTCTTCTTCCCAATTAAACTCTTGACTGCATTTCCACCCCCAGCCCCTGGAGCTCTGCCTTGGGCTTCCTAGAACTCATCCAGGCCAGCCCCAGCTTCTGGCCTGTGCATTAGAGAAGGTAAGGTGATCAGAGGTAGAGTTTGTCATCCTGAGAAGAAAAGCAAGTGGACTGTAAGACAGGTAAATCAATGAGATTGGCATTTTCCATTATTAATGGGCCTGATTTGTCTTGGGTTAGTGGCTATTCACAAAATTTCAGGAGGCCCAGTCCTTTGAGCTTCACTGTATCCCAACCACACTTGCCTGATACGGTGTGCATGTCTGTGTGTCTCTCTGTGTGTCTGTCTCCTAGCATCTGTTATTTCCATGTCAGCAGCAGAGTGTTCTGCACCCAGAGGCGGATGTGATGAAGACCCATCACATGGCTGGTAGCGTGTGGTGAGTCAGCCGGGCTCCTCGCTGGATTGCAGGGAACAGGAACCACTGTACTTGGCAACTTGGGCTGTGTCCGCATGATTGGAAACAATCTGTGAAGTGAGTCAGATCCGTTGAGAAAACAATTAAGTCAGTGGGAAAAGAAAATCAGTGACACTGGTGATTTGGCAAGGTGGAAAAGAAAGCAGCCCGTTGTTTGGTTACTGTTTCACTTTCCAGCTGGTCATTATGACACTGAGGCTGGGCTTACTTACCCCCCAGAGGCTTTCAGCAATTCCATCCGCGCACTGTCTACACAGCTTTAAAACTTTGCAGCAAGCTACTTAATAGAATCAAATCATCAACTATCCCCCTCACTAGTTAGCGTGTCCTCTGTGTGAACCCCATAGGAAATAATGGTAGATGGGAGAGACAGGACTTTGGGGGAACCAGGCCACTTCTGTTAAATTCCAAGTCTGGGGAGCATCTTGGATACTATCTGCTGTCCAGAGGTGGGAGGCAGAGACAGCGGTCAGACAGAGTTCAAAGCTATGAAATCCAGAGGTAATCCTCCAAAATCATGCTGACCCAAAGTTTTGCTCTCATCCAAGACTGTTGAGTGACCCCAAGTAAACAAACTGATCCTAGTCTTTTGGAGATCATGAACCCAACTCCCAGATTTTAAAGATGAGACAAGGGAGGCCAGGAAGGTAGGAGGACACACCCAGAATTAGGAGAGTAGGAAGCGAGTGTTTACTTGCCTAAATTCTCCTGTTCTCTACTGTCTGTGGGTGCTGGCGGACTGGGAGAGCTGGATCCAATGGAGAAATTTGTGATAGGGGATATTCAGAAGGAACGGGTTGTGAAGGAGAATTCTCTACTGAGAACTGGGGAGTTGCTCCTCTCCTTTTCTGGGCACCTCCCCTGTATCCCAGATGCTCATGACCTGCCACAGTTCTCATCAATCTCCAAAGAACAGCAGTGTCCCAAAGCAGTGGGGAGGTGGACGATGTGGCTTTGGCTAGAGCATATTTATGACCTGAAGTGTGCTCTAATTGTGCAGACATTCCCATAAATGTTATTTTATTAAGTTGAGCTACAGTAAATCTGTCATCTCCATAAGTAACGCCACAGTGAACCTGTAGGTAAGCTCAGAACACTGCCGTGAGCCATGCTGGGCTATTAGCTTTCTTGCTCGACGTTGTTATCTGTGCAGTCACAGCCTCTCAGGGGTACAACTCAGGCACCAGGTTTATGGGATTTGGTTCCCCGCAGGTGTGCCTAGCTCCCAAAGACAACAGGAATTGTTACAAAAGATGGAGGCAGGAAGACCAGAGGACCCTAGAAGTGGACTCCCTCTAACTCGTTTATAAACAGCTTGGGGCCGGTGTGTTGAGAGCTGGAACGGGGAATGAAGAGTCTTGGCTTCTGTTCTGACTCTTACAAACTGTTCAGCCTAAGGAAAATCACTTAGTGTGTTTGGCCTCACTCCTGCCGTCTTTAACATGGTGACACATAGGCATGCCCACCTGTGTGCCCCTCCAGGGTAAACATGGCGGTCTGCAAGTTGGGGTGTTGAACCCTTAGGATGAAAGCCATGACTACTAAGTGTATTCTACCAATTGGTCTGATGTCTTATGGCCATTCTGCAAGGTGCAGCACCACCTGCTGAGGGGTCATAATCTACCATCTATTTTTTCTGGGAAAAGACAAAAAAAAGGTTTAATGATAGCTCTGACCCAAGAGAAACTGGAAACAAATTGATATCTACATGCATTGTTGACGAACCTGGACAACTCACTATCTACTTGTGATATAGAAGCCAGACTATTGTAAACACAGTACTTCTTAGTATATGAGGAAGTTTCCAGCACTGATAATATTTAAGAACAGTCAGATTCATCCCTAGTCATTGCACCCCAAAACTGATCATGGACTACCATGTTGGGGGCAGAACTGAGTGTTCAAAGGAAGCTGTCCCTAAAGAGACAAAATTGGGAGTATTTGCTTCAGCATATAGGGTTGAACTAGCTGTTATGCACTATAGAAAACATTTCATAGTTCCTAGGAAACAAGGCAAACTTTTTTAAGATTTGATTCCATATTCAGCACAGTCTCTCTCCACAGATTTTGCAGAGCGTCACTGTAAAGTTTTCTCCAATTTTTAAAAATTAACTTGAGAAGAAAATGAACTGAGTTTGGAAAAGGCTGTCAGAGGGGTGTAAGTGAGGGTTTACAGACCCAGGAAAAACATGCTTGAAGAAAAAGCCCCACAAACTGGGGTCAGCAGACATTAAATTACAGACATGTCCATGGTTTGTCCAGATTGGTTAGAGCATGTTTCTCTGCAGCAATAAAAAACTAGAGACATTAACAAGCAATGATGTTAGATGGAATTAAGTAGCGTTCAAATGATGAAAGGGAAAATTAAGGAGCTAACCTTCCACCACCAGGGCAGTTCACCCAGTCAGTAAAAATAACAATCCTGTCTTTCCTGCCATCCCTGCCATCAGTGGGAGAAAGTAATTCAGATGGTCCGGTGTCCAGTGGCGCCATATGCCCTTGTGCAGCCGTCCTTTCAGGACCCTCCTGTTGGCTTTGGGTGACTAACTGGCCAGCTCGGTGCAATATATTTTGAGCCTGCCTCTTGCCTCTCTGGGTGGTTTCTGATGCGTTCTGGGGCAGGCACTGCCGTATATCCTCGTCTTTCTGCAAGCGTGCCACCCAGACACCGTCCGTAGGATTGTAAACAGAATGATTCATAAACTGGTGGCAGAAGCTAAAAGCAGTGCAGTTCGCGACCCTAAGCATGACGCCAGGATTCTAAATGGACTGTTGCAACAACAAAGCTGCCTGAAGATTCTAAAATACAGTTGTGTCAACTGGGCATTTGTAAGGTGGCATAACCTGTAACCGACAAGCGCACCCGTGGCAGTTTTTTGCTGGGCACAGCATCCTTACGCTATACTGGGCCTCCTGTTGTGTGGCCACCATTTATTTGCATCCACAGGCACGAGGCAGGGATTCTGCAGAAAGAACCCCAGAGTGGTGTCTGATTTCCATGGGGCTTTGCAGCCAGCTTTAATGAAGTGATTTCCAATATTGAGTTTCTGAGAATTCTGACCATGCGTATGTAGACCATGACACACCTTAATGACAATAATATCATCCCCCAGTTTAATCAGCATTTAACAGTTTAGAAATGTAATCCCTGTGAGACAGGTGGTCTCTTCTCCATTCTATTAGCAGCTCAATGTAGAGGAAAGAGCTCTGAAGCCAGATAGACTTAAGTTCAAATCCTGGCAATGACCCCCCTTACCTCCACTAGCTTTCCAACTGCAATTTACTTCATTTCTCCCAGTTTCTTTTTTCTTGCCTATAAGATGAAGAATCATCTCTCTGACTTATAAGATGAGGTGTGTGGTAAGAATTAAATAACATATTTAAAGACGCATAGAAGCACTGGATAATCATTAGTTTCTATCCACTTACAGATGAAGAAAATGAGGCTTGAGAGGTTCAGGGAATTGCTCAAAGTAACAGCCAGTAAATGGCAGAACTGAGACTTCATTTATTTTACAAACATTATTGAACACCTACTATATGCCAGTGCCCCAGGCAGAGGAAAGTGGATAAGACATAATTCTGGCTCTTGAACTGTTCACGGTAGAGTGCCAGAGTCTGAAATGCAAATAATCAATTACAATTTAGTGTGATCTGAGAGGCAATGTGTATTGAGGGAATGTCCTGAAGTCATGGGTGCACCCAGGTATCTGCACAGGAAATGATTATGAAGAAGAGCACCCTCCAGGGGAAGTGGCGATGGGGTTCAACCTGAAATAGGACTTCAGCAGGTGGACCTGAAGCTTGGTGGGGGCGGGGTGGACACGCAAGAACAGGCAAGAGGGGAGGTTCTCGGGAGGTGAAAGAATTGGAGGGGCTCACAAGGAATGCCGAAAAGCATGGATCTTTGTCTAGTCCACACTCCAGTGAAGCCACAGGCTGATTTTACATAAAGAACCGGTGTGGTCAGATTTGCATTTTTGAAATCGGGGCAGCAGTGTGGAAGATTGACTGGAGGAGAGAGAATGGAGTTCAATGAGAGATAATGAGGCTGTGAACTAAGAAAGTGGCAGAGCAGACAGTTTGGAGAGTTGTAGAGGAGGTGGAATTGACGGCACGGGGCAATTGATTAGATGTCGAGGCAGGAGAGGAAGAAAGGAGTCAAGAAGGGCTCTCAGGCCATTAGCCTGGATGACTGGGTGAATGGGAGTGTCCCTACTGACACAGGGGGAGGGGAGTGAGTTTGAAGGGACAATAATGGGTTCGTTTGGATACGTTGGTTCTAAGAGACATGTGGACACTGTCTAGGAGGAGATGTGCAGTAGAGAGTTCAAAACATGAGTCGGAAACCTGGGAGCTGACTGAGGGTGAAATGCATGAATCAACGGTTATATCGGCTTTTATTTGATGGTCAAATCTGAACTTGCACTGAGATGATAGAACAGGAAGAAAAAAAGGGTCATGAAGAACTCTAGAAAATAACAAAATGTAAGTGCTAGAGTGAGGACTGTCAGAAGGATGGAGGTACCAGGAAAAAGCAGGATTTAAAGGGCCAAGGGAGACAAGTGCTTCATGATGCTAAAAATAGAGGAAGGAACCATATTCTACCAAGAGTCAGAGAAGACAGGAACAGAAACTTAGATCATATTTGGCAATAGAGGGTCACTGTGACAATTTAGTTTTAGACAAGGTTGTTAAAAAAGAAACATTCAACCTGTTTCTTTTTAAAAAAAAAAAAAAACAAAACTGTAACTCAGAGTAAGAAGAATATCTTATAATATAACCTGGGATAAAAGTTTCATAAAGAATACTCACTTTCTGATATTTCATACTTTTATCAGATCTTATCCATCCCTTCCCATTCCATTCTGAATGCTGCTTTATTGTTGTTCAGTCACTAAGTTGTGTCTGATTCTTTGCAACCCCATGGACAGCAGCATACCAGGCTCCCCTGTCTTTCACCATCTCCCGGAGTTTGCTCAGATTCATGTCCATTTATTCAGTGATGCTATCTAACCAAGTCATTCTCTGCCACCCCCTTCTCCTGCCCTCAGTCT